TGTGATCAGGATAATGGTGAGGATCAAGGGCCTCTGATGTTTGTGGGAAAGCTTGATAAAAAATACAGGAAATATCAATAAATCATGTACTGCATTACAATAAACATTCTTCTATTTTCTTCTGTGTCAACTCCTCTCCATCACCTGTATCCATATATCCATACACCCATTTAAACTCCCCTCCGCCTTCTTAATCTCAAATAATACCTCCCATATTTTATCCGTCTTCCTTCCTGCATCATTGATCCCCTTCTGTCTCCATCTCTCTATACACCTTTTCCTTCTCACTTCCACCTCCTCCCTATCCTTTCCATCACTCCCCACTCTCCAGCGGTCCCCTTACCCCTGGCCCACCAGCTCACCATGAAGGAGGTGTTTGATGCCGAGGGCCGGCCGCGGGTGGACCTGCTCAAAGCTCACCTCACCAAGGAGGGCCGACTGGAGGAGGCCGTGGCCCTGCGCATCATCGATGAGGGCGCCGCCATCCTGCGGCAGGAGCGCACTATGTTGGACATTGAGGCGCCAGTCACGGGTATGTCATAGTGATGAAGAGTGGAGGAAGTGAGTGAGTCAGTCTAATTTGGTTACGGAGCAGTTCATAAAAAATAGTAGGAAAGCCAAACCTGATGTCAGTTAAAGGATTAGTTTGACATTTTGACCAGCGGACAGTTAGCTGAGCTTAGTTTAGCAGAATGACTGGAAACATAGGGCAGACAACGAGCTCATTAATTCAAGTGTAATAATGCATTTGTTCAATCTGTTTCAAAAAACAAAGGGTAAAAACATCACTTCACCGTTTTATGGCTTTTTTTTCTTTACTATTTACTGGCTGTGAGCGATAACATCCTTAAGTCTAAACTACTTGCCTGGTAACTACTCCTGCCCAAGAAATAGTCCCATACATAACCCCCAAAAACTCTGTTTTTTACACTTCCGTTTCTGTTTTGATTAAACAAACAAGATATAAGGTGTAAATTAGTCTAATTGTGTTGGTAGGCAGATTCTGTTAACTTCAGTCAGCCAGGATAACTGTTTTTTTTTTTGTCTTTATGCTAAGCTAAGCACAGGTCGCGAGACCATCACAGGGCTGACACATAGAGACAGACAACCATTCACACCATTCAGAACATGCAAACTGCACACAGACGGACCGGCCAGCGGGTTGGAACCCAGAAGTCGACAGAAGGCGACAGTGCTATACCTATCCATGCTGCCCCTAAATGTCAAGCTATCCATTTAAAAACAGTTTGCTGCTATTGGGACTACCCACACAAAAAAAGCAAAAGAAGTGTGTTAACATACGTATGTGCATGACAAGCAAATGGATCACACACTTTAACAGCTAGGGCAAAGATAGTGACAGTCAAACAGAGAAAGAGAGAGAGAAAGACAGAGGAATGGAGCTGCGTAGCAAAAAGGAGAAAGATTAATTAATTAATCTGCCATATGTATCTGCCACCCTTTTAATATGAACTGTTGTTCGGTCGCACATCACTGAGAGAACCAATTGGCACTCACGCCTCACAATGGCAGGCGCTAGCTTTGGTAATATCTGCATGTATTCCCTTGCCAGGGAAGTGGTATAAACCTTGGAGAACGTCGAAGGGAGGGAGTGGAAGGGGGACAAAACGGAAAACAAGATTCTGACACAGTAAAAAAAAAAGACAGACATGCAGGCAGGCGGACCCAGACACTTCTCAACCCATTCACACTGCTTGGTTAATGTACCTTTGTATCTCTGCATGCGTGTGTGTGCGTGTTTATGCAAATGCTGGCGGTGAGATAATTCTGTGTGGGACATCGTGCCCACGCAGTGTGGAAACATCGCTCGGCTTTCACAGGTACAGATCCCCGGGGACGAGGACAGAGAGACAGGCAGATGGAGAGACAGGCAGATGGAGAGACAGTCGATCCTAAGCTGCTTAGTGCAGAGGTTCTCACAAAATATTGATCAGTTTCCAAGTTTCTCCACTTCTACAGATTCCGATCCAGAAACACCCACCTGAGTGGATTTTTGTCTGAGTTAGCTGTGATCAGAAACTACAGGAAAAAGTAGTGCAGGTTCTTGTGGGGAGGGGCTTTAAGCAAATGTAATGGTGAGGAGATGTACTAGGCACAGTTTAGCACTTTGAAGGAGTCTCGAGATGTACTAAGACAGACGGACTAGTGGACGGACAGGCGGGTGGATGGCGGAAATTTAAATGGGCAGGCTTTTAGGGAGTCACATGAAAGCCTCTGGGAGAATACCGAGGCAGGTCTGAGGAGACAGACAGGTACGGCTCAATTTCACTCATGCCATCTTGCATTCCCAAATTCCCTGCTCAAATTAAGGTGAATGCTAAGGAGTAGACACAAAAATGTAACCGGCCGGGCAGATGCAAGATGGCCAATCGTAAGATGGGCTGCAGAGGGGAACTATAAAACTAAAAGTGAAAAGGAGAGGCCAAGCAGATGGCGTGGGAGGCGGATGGGAAGATGTACGCTGGCAGATCACACAGACAGTCCTGAAGTCTTTCAAAATACAAAGTGTTCGGCATGTGAAGCCTGATATGAGTAAACTTCTGGATGTGACTTGGAACAAACCTTGGGGGAAATTATTAGAAACACATGGCGATTGATATAGAATCAGAGTCGATGAGGCTCCATCAAGAAAACTAGATTGAAAGTCTGATAGATCTGAAATTTAACCTAATGTAGTGCAGTGAAGGTTGCTGTTATCTTAAAACTTGTATGATATATGGCTCAACAGTAATTAGTAGCATCAGGGATATAATCAGTACTGTTTGATTATCAATTAAAACGCCTTGGTGATTGTTTTGGATATAAAATGTTGTAAAATGATAATCACAATATCCCAAAGCCCAAGGTGACATATTCAAATAGGTAATTCTGTCCAACTAACAGCCCACAGCTCAAAGTTTTTAAGTATAAAATCAAATTAGACAAAGAAAAGAAGCTGGAACTTTTTTTTGCTTAAAGATACGGTAGTTTTAGATACATTCATCAACTAATCAACTAGTCAGCTGATCAACTGTGTTTCAGCTATAAGTAATTTTCTCTCCTATTGTTTGACATTTTGGCAGAGATCTATATCTATAGATATCTATAGATGCATGTATTGAACATGAGATCTCTGGTGTGTTCCTTAACTGGTTGGATTCAAACACAGACCTCAACATTATTCTTTCAGGAGGATATTTTCATCATTCATATTCTGTTTTTTTTTCATTAGGCAGGTGAGTGATGTTTCTAGATCAGCAGACAGAGCAGACATACCTCTGCAGATGCAAATCAGGCCATATGGAGCCACTGAAGCAGAGATGGTGCCACGAGATGGTGACCCTAACACTGTTGTGTGCTGCCTCCGCAGTGTGCGGAGATATCCACGGCCAGTTCTTCGACCTGATGAAGCTGTTTGAAGTGGGGGGTTCTCCTGCCAACACTCGCTACCTCTTCCTAGGGGACTACGTGGACAGGGGCTACTTCAGTATCGAGGTGAGGATGGACACTGAAGCATGTATCTGAACATCACACTCTTTTACTGGGTGTGTGTCCACACAAAAAAAAAGTAAGCTGGCTGTATTGTGTTTACAGTGAGCTTACAACTAAATCAATGTCCATTATGGTGTATATTGCCCTGAAGTCTATTATACAGTTTCTAGTAGCAAGGTTTATTTCATACGGAGGTATATAGTTACCACATTGTGTTGTATTTAATGAATTATAAACGTACAAAAAGTACTTGAGATTAGCATAGACGCACAACAGTGTGTGTCTGAAAATGGACACGGACCAAAATGATTTAAAATTCATGGATGACTCAAGGTCAGTAATCACTAACGGGTATAATATGCTGCTTACTGAAATATGTATAGAACCTGAGTGGAGATAGTATATTCAGGGGGCCGTTTGGCCATCTCTGTAAAATAGACGTGAGTGCAATATAATATTTTTGGAATTGCTTTGTCTGGCAGAAACGCTCCACAGATCGGGGGTGTGACTTGAATCCATAATAATACAAGCACATGGTGAATGTCCTAGCCTGTTGAGCTCACTTGGCATCCATGGCATGAGGGCTGTATCGCTGTTTGGATGGCAGGAAGCAATATTTAGGCCACCTTCCTAACACACTTCAAGGCCACATAGACAGTAGGCCTCAATGCAGAGCTTGGAGGATACCGTGTGTAGGTGAGAGAACACCCTCTGACACATTTGTAGTGATTATTAAAGTGATAAAAGTGGAAACACATTGGCTGATAATATATTCTAAAAGATGTCGGACACAGCCACAGCTCTTCTCAATTCATTTTTATTTTTCTGTGAACTCAATCAGGTACGCTCTTATTCGGGATGATTCTTGTCAAAGTCCTGTTCATGTCTATCTTTAGCCCGGGGTGAGGACCAACTTGCTTTCAGCTCAACACATTTGGGCAGTGGATGGTTCGTGCAGGGAGGGAATTCCTTGTGACGCTTCCAACGTGATTCTCTGTGTCTCGCTTTGAATTTCCAATTAGAATTTAATGAGGGGAACTGAAAGTGAAATGACAACAACTCTTCCTTATACAGTTACTTACTAGCAATGATGCTAAAGAGAAATTAGTTTTCACTGTGGTTTTCTTAAAGGAATAGTTTGACATTTACACTTATTTGCTTTCTTCACAGTGCTGCTATGACTGTACCTTACCCCCTAAAACGTTGAACTTGTCATTTAAGCCGGGCAATATAAGAAATCAAACATATTTCCAGTATAGTAGGGTCAGTCGAGAGCCATAATTGTAACAATATTCACCCTTTTACTCAACAATATTTTCGTCAAGCAATTGTTTTTTTTACGTTGATGTGATCAGATAATAAAACATAATGACATTATTGAAACTTACCTGTTGGTGCCTTCCTTGTTTACAAGTAAATTGATTGCGACTAAATAGTTAACAAATTTGATTGATGGAAGTTGTAGAAATACTACACAAACCTGACCTGATTTAGAATATAATTGAATGACATCTGACTGAACACTGGGTATTGACCAATACAAAATGAGCCGCTGGTCGTGCTCTTGCTTTGGCGTTCCTCACGGACCAGAACTAGCATGCATGACATGTGAGAACTAAGTGACTAAGAACAGATACATGCAGACAAGCAGCCATATGCCGACGTGATGTTGGCATTTACGTCTCAAGCATAAATACGCGTCATAACTGTAACAAGTCACATTGAAGGCGACTAAATATGCAAAAAGCTTAATTTCTTACATTATAGTATTCATGCTGCAATTACATCCCATAATGCATTGTAAATGTACTCCTGTTTTTGGCAAATGTAATGATGTTGTTATGTACAGCTGCTTATCTATAACCAGGTTTTATGCCTCTGTCTCCCCTGGTGAACCTTTAGTGTGTGTTATACCTGTGGTCACTGAAGATCCTCTACCCAAAGACGCTCTTTCTTCTACGGGGAAACCATGAATGTAGACATCTGACAGAATATTTCACCTTCAAACAAGAATGTGAGTGACTCTTGCGTTTCCTCCTGATATAATGTGCTCCTTCTCTCTTTCTCTACCGCTGTGTCTGCACCTCTTTCACCTCATGTGCTTTTGTTGCTCTTCCCTCTTTAACCTCATTCCATCCTACTCCAAGTTATACCAGTCTTTTCTGTTTAAGTTGTTATAAAGCCAAGTAAGCTGCAGCTAGCAATTATTTTCACTGTCAATTCATCTGCAGATTATTTTTTAATGAATTGCACATTCAAAACTATACTAGAAAACAAGCAAATATTCACCTCAGAGACTTTTTGGCATTCCTGGTTCAATGTTTTTTATTTCCAGTTGACTTGTTTGTTACAAACTCTGTAAAGAGAATCTTATAAACATGATATAACGCTAGAAGTCTGAGGCTGAAGCTACATGTCCGAGGCAAAACAGTCATCATCCTCACCAGCTGAAGATCCATGTAGAAGACATGAATATAAAGAGACAAGGATTGGTCTTGTTTTTGCAGTATAGAGCTTGTTAGTCAAAGTATTATAAGAACTACAAGGCAAAATACAAGATCGGACAGTTAATTCATGCTAACAGAACCCTGTTAACGGCTTAGCTTATGTAATTGCACAAGCAAGACAGAGGTTGCTTCACTGTTCATGTTTCTGAACAGTGTGTTTTCACTTCCACTGTTATAAGAGAAAAGCTTTTAGAACGAGGACTTACAGATGTGTTCGTATCGTAATGAGTTTAGCTGGGGTCGCAACCTCCCCACATACAGCGGAGCAGGACAGAACCACTGTAGTGTTAGCCTACGCTCTTATATAGTACCGTCCAGGAGGACAGGCTTCCACACAATGGGGAAAAACTGCAGAGTGAATGTGCTATTGTGAATGGGGCTTGTTCCATCGTAACATGTAACTACACAAAATGTAGGTAGCTAATGAAATGCTTGGCCTTCCTAATGTCATGCTAATGTCTTAAGTAAGAGCAGACAAACGCACTGTTCGGCCCCTTTCAAATTCAAAGCTAGGCCTGCCATGCCTAGTTACATTTGCTAAGCTAGGATTGGACAATTTGCTGCTCGGGGGAGGGGTTTAACAAACAGTCACTTGTTGCAGATTCATTTTCTGTCACTCAACTAATCAATACATTATGACTGTTTCAGCTAAAAAGTTTATTTTTTCTGTCCATCTTCCTGGGTGTTATCCTCCCTCCTTTCACACTCCCATCCACCCCTCTTCTACTCCTTCTCATCCTCCTTACTTCTTATTCCTCTCCATCTTTTCCTCCCTTGATCAGTCTCTCGCTCTGTCTCTCTGACTCTCCTCGCGTCCTGTCCGAGAATGGGTGACTAGCAGCAAATGAATTTGGCCCTTAATGATTGGCTCAGGGACTTGCTCTTCTGTGTCTGATTGGCCAAGGGACAAGGAAGCTAATTTCCCCTGGTGCTCGTGGCGAATAGTGGTCGCCCTCAATTACCATCTGCTGTGTGT